TAAATCACTAGAATTTTCCAGCATTTTCTGTTGTAACTCGTTAGAATTTTCTAGCATTTTCTGTTGTAATTCGTTAGAATTTTCTAGCATTCTCTGTTTTAAATCATTTAAATTTTGCAACATTAAATGCATATCACACGGGCCTTCAAATAAATACTCATCTGGATTTTCACCTTCCTGTGCCAACGCTTCTCGAAGCCGCTGCTGCAACACATTCTTTTTTCCAGTTGTATCACATTCCCTTTCTTCCAGCTCTCGCTTAAGGTCCGCCACTTTTAAGTCCATTAACGAAACCATTTTCGCGAGCTTTCACACTAACCGCACTCCTGACACCAATTGTAACGTTTTTAACTGTTCGTAGTGTGAATAAAAACACGCACTGGTTAATTAACGAACTTAACTATTTATTTATTAACTTAACTACACTTAAAACACTATAAAACTAACTAAACACTTAACTACTAATTATTTATATATCACTATTGTTCAAGAGTCTATTTATTTGCACTTATATTTATTTATTTCGCCGCGAGTACCAAATCTTAACTGACTGCCCTGTGCTGCTCCGTTTCTTATATATTTAGCGCCCAAGTCTTCTGGAACATTCCAGCGAGCTCCACACTCTCGATTATTCGAGCGCTGAGTCACCGGCGATGACTCACCGGCGATGACTAACCGGCGATGACTAACCGGCGATGAGTCATCACTCCGATATCCAGAGCGGTACTCGCTACAATAGTTTTTATCTTAAATATGCGCTTGTAATTTAAAATTAACACTACTGACCTAGCCAACAATTTTATTCCTGCGATGGACATGGAACGCATGAGCGACTCGTTGCGCTGGGCTCCCTTTTGTCATCATTGGAAATTGCTAACCCTCACTCCTGGTCATTCCTGGGGTAAGCTCGGACGAGTGTCAGCTGGAATTGATCTGGAAGGTTGATGTCATCTTCACAACAAACGTGGTACAGGATACCTTCTTGTGAGAGACCATTTCCAGAGTTTTCAGCATTTTTTGGTATTTTATTTTTAACTATACTTTTTCCATTTTTCTTATTTCTTCTTTTGCAGATCTGCTCGAGGTAGGGTGGCTGCTAGTACTACTGCCATTCCAAAGGATGAAATGGAGATCAGAGTAGGTTCTTTACCCTTTTTTTAACTTTCTTAACTTTTTTTAGGATTAAGTAAGAATTTCTTCAAGTTTGAACATCTCGCCCTCAAGATGAGACAAATTTTCAGGTTTTCTTCTATTTCCTCAGTTTCGATGTTGGTAATTTTCCATGTTTTTCTTGGAATGACGTTTTTATTCATAGTAGCATGACTCAGCAGCACAAGCTTTTTCCGTACCCCAAAAAATATTTCTTTTCTTCTTTTTATTTTCAATATTCTTTATTCTTCATTTACATAAATTTTCTTTTTCCTTTTTAGCTTTATTAAAGTCGACTTCTTCTTTTCATTCTTCTATACGTTATGGGTATCGTAGCTTCATGGAACAGGGCTTCTGGTAAGGGCTTCCAAAAGGATCCTGCTGATATTTCAATGGCAGCTTCTTCGGGTTGCCAGGATAAAATAAGTTTAATGTTAACTTAAAAATTAGTTTGCAAGTATATACAAATTGGCATTAGGGATAGGGGGTACAGGGGTTGAAAAGGAAGGGGTGTAGTATTCCTCTTTATTCTTTTTTTTATACTTGGGTTTGTGGGTAATACTGCTGGATTCGTTGTTCTGGTTTATTGACTCTTTGTTGAGGTGTTTAAGTTTCGTGTTGCGAGAAGAGGGTCAAGTTACTTATTTGTAATGAGAGAATTCTTTCCTTTACTTTACTTAGGTAGTTTAAAAACAATTTTCTTTAATTCTCTCATATCCATCGTCGTTGGGGCAATAAGGTAATAGGACTCCTAGTACAAAGGGTGTAGGCCATTTTCAAAGTGGTCCCGAAAGATGTCAAAGCCATTTGAGGGTTAACTTCTTCGGCAAGGTGTTGTAGTTCAAAAAAATAGCTATTGATGTTTTCGTTTTCGCCTTATTTTTTTGAATTTTATTTTATTTTTTCTGCTCTCGCAAAATGTTCTCCTCCAAATTCTTCTAAAAAGTCTTTTTTCAAATTTTCCCAATTTTTCTCTCTATTTTCCTGACTGGTGACGTATTTTGTATACCATGTAATGGCCGCTCCTTTCATAAATGATCCTAGATAATTTATTTTATATGTGTCGCTCCATCCGTTAATTTGGGAACATCTTTCGTAGTTTTTAATAAAGGTTATGGCGTTGGTCGTCGTCGGGTTGAATGTTGTGGGGGCAATAAACTTCGGGACTGCAGGTGTTCTTCCGGTCTGGGATGCTTCTAAAATTGTTGTGTTCGACATGTCGATGATTTGTGGTTCGGTTTGGGTGATAGGGCAATTTTCTTCAGGATTATCTTGTATCTCAGTTGCTTGGGAAAAAGGTAAGGATATATCTTCAGAAGGACTTAAAATTGAAAGATTTTGTAAAGGACTTAAAAAGGTTTTGGATACGGGCTTCTACGTTGTCGTCTTCTTCTTTTTCGGATTGATTTTCGTCGGGATTTGCCTCTTCTTCGCTGTTTTCTTCTTCTGCGTTGAAAGTTTGGTTATTAGAGTTTTCTGAGTCTTCTAAATTAAATGTTGAGTTTTGGATTTCTTCTTCTGATTTTTCTTCCTGTTTTCAGTCTGTTTTTCGAGTATTACAGGTTCTTTCGGTGGTCGTAGAAAATATCTTGTTTGTTTCGGTTCGGTGCCAGTCGGTGATCGTGGTAACGTTGAGGAGGGTTCGAAGATGGATTTTTCCGTGCTGCGATGTGATGGGTTGAATGTCAATTTTCCCAAAAGCTTCCTGCGTGACATTAAATTTAACTAACGCCGACCTTGTTTTTCTTAGAGTTTCCAAATAGATTCAGCGAGCATTCGGTCAATCCTGGGTACCGATGCTTTCTCTATTCATAGTGATGGTACAAGATCGTTGGCGCCTCCACCAAGTGACGATTGGGGACTCCACCATGTGACGATCGGGGACTCCACCATCGATGATTGGGACTGTTGGGTGACGTATGGTTAAAAGGCCAAACTTACATTATAACGGCTTTATTTCTGAATGCTTCTACATTACAAGCAATAAGGGTTTATATACAAAACTAGAACACTACGTCATATACACGAGAAATACATGTTTGCAATTCTCACAATAAATTTCCACGTAAATCTACTTGAGAATCAATTAGTCTGCAATAATCTGAAACTTTCCTGTTGCTTTTATGTGGGAAAATAATTATTATATTAAAGTAAAGTAAAATTAATATAAATCAATAAATAATATTTTCTTATGGAATCGTTCCAAAGTTAACAAATGCTCATTTGCATCCTTCCAACTTTGAAAAAATGAAAGTTTCTTTGGCAGCACAGTTATTTAGTGCAACTGTAGCAAGCTTGTTGGAATTATTAATTTCAATTGGCTACTTACCACAGTCTGCTATGCCAACTGCCAATTTTGTGCGTGAAATGGATAAATTTTTTGATATTTTAAATTCTTTTAAGTTTGCAACAAAAAGTTTTAACAGACCCTTTATTGGTAGTGATGAACAGATACATTTTTTAAATCAAATGAATAATACATTTAAAAATTTAAAAGTTATGGATAGTAACAATAAAGATCACACACAATCAATGAAATTTTTAAAAGGTTGGAATACTACCATTAATGGAGTTTTGCTACTCTGACAAAAAGTCCTGTTTACAAGGAGGCTGAATCAGGATTGCCTCGAAAATATGTTTGGCAGTATAAGGCAAAAGGGCGGTAACAATAAAAATCCAACTCCAATTCACTATGCATTTAAAAAAATGTTTACTTTAAATTACTTTCAGCACGTAGAGGGTGCTAACTGCATACAGGATTTAGATCAATTATTAACTGATTTTAATGTTAAAGATGCCAATATTGCTGCTACACATATTTCCGAGTATATTCCTGAAATTGATCCCAAGTCTTTTGTTGAAACTTTCAGAAGGGTTGTTCATATTAATTCAGAAGATTATATTAATCTCAACTTGCCTGAGAAAAATAATAATAATAATATTTTTGGGACACATTTTTTTTCAAAAATGACTAATTAATTAATCATATACTTAACTACAACAGAAAATCGTTAGTACAAGTTAAAAAGATAAACTAAAAGTATACTGAACATAAATTTGCTAAAATATAAGGATGATATTTTTTAACAAAATTTGTTAATATTTAATATTTTTTGAATATTTTTTAATATTTTGATTTGCTAATATTTAATATTTCTATTAAAAAAAAATCAATAAAAATATTTTAACTGATTTTTTGTCAGTTTTTTGCTATATAATAAAAAATTAAATTAAAAGTTTAACCGTTAACTAACCTCACGGATGTGTTTATATTTTAAATTGAAATTACTAATATAAAAATTCATATTTCTGTAACCGTTCGGTATTAAATCTTCTTATTTTTACCTTGCTAAAAATTTTTTACCTCTTCGTAATTTAATCCCGAATGTTTATTTTGGTCAAAATAATTATTCGGGATTATATTTAATCCCGAAAGACCAAAATAAACATTCGGGATTAAATTTAATCCCGAATGTTTATTTTGGTCAAAATAATTATTCGGGATTATATTTAATCCCGAAAGACCAAAATAAACATTCGGGATTAAATTTAATCCCGAATGTTTATTTTGGTCAAAATAATTATTATTATATACCTTGGTATTTAGGTATACCTTTCTTACTATAAAATAAGCGTTTCTTCTAAACCTTGTCAAATGTGTTGTTTTTTTAAACAAAGTTACAAGTGAAGTGCTGAAGTGTTTCTTTCAAAGTTACGAGTGAAGTGCTATTGTGATAAGTGTTGTGTTTTATTAGACAATTAATTTGCTAATAATTATTAGTGTTATCTATTTTATTGTGGTAAGCTTTTTTTTTAATTAATATAACTTTTTTATTTTGACTATTTGCAATATGTCTGTGACAAATAATAATCCATGCTTAAGAGACATTATTGTTTCAACCTTTGAATGCTTGGAAGAGTTCCCTGACGATAGCAGGAAGGTTTTTTGCAAGATTTGCAAAGCAACAATTTTGGCTCTGAGTATGAAACGAGCAAATATTCACGTGAACTCACGTCACCATCAAAAAAAATTAAATGGTGAGGAAATTCCAATAAGAAAATTTGAACTTAAATGGCTGCAAGACATACGGTTTAAATTATGGTTGGAAGTAGTGCCTGGTGACGAATTTAAATTTCGTTGCAAAATTTGCAATGTTGATAGAACCTGCATAGGAGGCATAAGTAATGTGACTCGTCACGCACAACAACCGGAACATGTCAATAACTGTAAAACAGCTGGAGTACAGTCAATGGATGACTTGCAGGGTGAAGATATTTACGATTCTGTACAGTCTTTTGAAAATCGCAGAATAATTCGCGAAACAGAATATGCTAAATTAGGATGTCTCACCAATACCCCATATCAAACCATGGGAAAATTTTTGAAATTTTTTCAAGAAACCGACCCTGCAGTCCTTCAGAAAATGACTGCAAGAAGGTATCGGCTCTGGTTAGAAATGTTTTGGCTCCACGGGAAGAATCTAGAATAGTAGAAATTCTTCGCAAAGTAAAATTTTCGGTTTTTATTGACGAGACAACTGATCCTAACGGATCTGTAAAATGGATGTCTTTCCTTGTGAAGTTTATCGACCCAGAAACCCTTGATGCAATGATGGAATTACCAAGAGTCATTGCTTTAGATTCAACAAAATTAAACGCCGAAGGGATTTTTAACACTTTTAATGCATATATGACAGAAAAGAAAATTCCCTTTAAAAATGTATTAGCTGTTTCTTGCGACAATGCATCAGTTATGATTGGTGATTTAAATTATTTTAAGACTTTTACGCTTAAAGAAAATCCTTCAATTTTATTTATCCCTTGCATTTGTCACAGACTAGCTTTAGTTGCAAAAGATTCTTGCAAGAAAATACCTGGATATATCGAGCCACTTTTGCAATCGATTGTACGTCATATGAACAGTACAAAAAGATTAGAAGCGTTCAATGAAATCAGTTCTTCGGTTCAAGGAACATCCAAAAAGATTTTAGATTTTGCAAAAACTCGATGGCTTGGTCGACACGATTGTATCGAAAGAGTCCGTGAATTGTACCCCTCCCTTTTATTACATTTTACGGAATTGTGTTTCTCGGAAAAAAATAATGCAAGTTTTCAAAAAATTAAAGTTGAATTAGATGACCCAAGAACAAAAGCATATCTAGCGTTTTTGCAATACGTTTTAAAAAAATTTAATGTCATAAATTTATTTTTTCAACATGAAGAAACTAAAGTCCATTTATTGAATTCAAAATGTATAACTTTTTTAAAAACAATCGCCAGTCATTTTTTAAAGTCCGCTTTGTTACGCGATTTAGCTCATAGTAAAATAGATTTCCGTTCATCAGATAACCAAAAACCCTTAGATATGGTTGACTTGGGACCTGATTGCAACGATATAATTGACGAATTGTCCCAGAATCTCGAAGCAAACACTTCAGTTATTCAAGAGATTAGAGAAAATTGTCTAGCTTTTTATGTTGAGACGGTTTCCCAAATTTTGGATCGTTTATATTATATTAAGGATGAATTTTTTAAAAACTTGTCTGTTCTTGACTTATCTAATACCGACATAGGTAGTAGTTTCGAAAAAGTCTCGTATTTGGCAGACAAATTTGGACTTGATGACAAAGATGCATTAAAAACTGAATGGCGCCAGGTTCTACGCAGATTTTCTTTACGAGCAGAGACATCCTATAGTCTTATAACATTTGATGAAATGTGGAAAGATATCCTTTCTTGCAAAAATGTGGATGGTAACGTTATTTTCCCACATTTGAAAGTTTTGGTAGGGTACATTCGTTCCTTACCACACTCCAACGCAGCTGCTGAAAGGACATTTTCATTGTTGCCGGACATTTCAACAAAAAAAAGAAATTCTTTGTCTAATGAATCTATTAATGCATTAGCCGTAGTAAAATCGGCTAATAAATTAAATACTTCATTAGCAAATACCGAAATGACAGAGGATCAGCTGTCTTTAATGTCTTCGAGTAAATTATACGAGCCGCCCAAGAAAAAAACACATCTTTTAAATTTCCATGCAGACACTACCGACAATTATGAAGACATAAGTAAACCTGGACCATCTAAAAGATAACAACATGAATAGTTAAATATTTATAAGGTGTTTTTTGATGTGGATTAGGCCTATAGGGGACACCACGTTAAAAAAAACGCGCCAATAAGCTTTACCTCATGGTGGTGTGGAAATAAGCTTAAATTTGCAGACATAAGTAAATAAAAATTACATTTTTACCATTAACGATAGTTAAAATAACTTTAATGTGAAAATAATTTTTATAAATTTGAAAAAAAAAGTTTTATCTATAAAAAAACATGTTTTTAATAGAAAATATTTTTGTTGCATAGATTTCTTGGCATTAAAAATTACTAATTTTTTGGAAAATTTTCATATTTTGCATAATAAAAATTAAAAAGAATTTTAAATTCACACGGCGATTTTTTTCCGCTGTGAGGTTGGGTGATTCGTAACATTAATCGTTGTATTAATTCTAGAATACAATATAAAATTCTGATTTTTTGCAGATTTATACTTGAAATGTGAGCGCTTCTAATAGCAATTCAGAAATTTCAAAAATTTCTAAAGATTTTGAAAAAAAATGTTGCCTTATAGAATCATCAAAATCGTGCATCAAAAACTTTACCCTGCGGCGAGCTATGTGAATTATTGAAAATTTCTATACATATATATCGAGTCAAATGTAGTTAAAACATTGATAAAGTTATTAAAAAAAAATTAATTTGCCAACTTTAACGGTTGTTGAAATATGAATTTTTATGCTCGAGAAGTGATTGTATTTCACTATGAGTGTGGGTAATTCGTAACATTAACCGTTGTATTAATTCTAGAATACAATCTAAAATTCTGATTTTTTGCAGACTTATACTTGAAATGTGAGCGCTTCTAATAGCAATTCAGAAATTTTAAAAATTTCTAAAGATTTTGAAAAAAAACATTTTTAATAAGAATTATCAAAATCGTGCATCAAAAATTTTACCCTGCGGCTAGCTATGTGAATTATTGAAAATTTTTATACATATATATCGAGTCAAATGTAGTCAAAACATTGACACAGTTTTTTAAAAAAAAATTAAGTCGCTAACTTCAACTGTTGTTGAAATATGAAGTTTTATCCAAGAGTCCTGAAATTCCCGCTAGAATAATATAATAATTATATAAATATATATTATAAGATAATTATTATATATTATTAATAATTATATATAATAATTATAATTATATATAATAATATATATTATAATAATATAACTGAAAACAAATTTTCGATCGCAAGAACGAAAAATACGCTCTACCTGGAAAAAACCCCGTATAGCATTCGCCTCGCCCACTGACGGCGCGAGCAGAGCAGGCAAGACAGAGAAAGCATGCTTTGGCAAGACAGAGTAAGCCTATACAGGGTTTCAAATATCCGAGCACTGATCAAGACACGCAAATGGTGTGTCAATTGTTTAAGTTCGAAACATACATTGTTTGCTTGCCGATCTGAAAATGTTTGCCGTACATGTAGCAAGAGACACCACTCGCTTATTCATTTTACAGAAAATATTAATTCTAATCCCGCATCTTCGCAATCGCACGCTATTGCATCTACCTCCGCTACGCTCTTGTCTAATTCTAACGCTTCGCACTCTATTTTACTCGCAACCGCTGTCGCTGAAATATTAGATTCGCGCAATAAATATCAAAAAATTCGCATTTTACTTGATTCCGCAAGTCAGTGTAACATAATTACGCAATCATGCGCAGCTAAACTCGGTCTCCGATCTACCAAATCGCCGTTGTCCATTAAAGGCCTAGGTTCCATGAATGTCTCCGCCACACTTTCCGCAGAATGTCATATTCGCCCCGCAAATAATAAAACTTCAAATTTAGACTTTGAAGCCATAATTTTACCGCAAATTTGTAACCACATGCCAACTTCTGTCATTATGGCAGATTGGCCACACATTTCAAATTTAAAACTCGCTGATCCGCAATTTTGTTCACCCGGAGATATTGACATGCTGTTAGGTGCTGAGATTTTCCCATACATTTTATTACCAGGTCGCGTTCAGGGTTCTAAACATCATCCCGTCGCGTTAAACACCATTTTTGGCTGGGTTCTCATGGAAAAAATTGGCAGCTTACCTGCTCCTCAAGTCAACAATTTCTTAACGATTTCCAATGACGAACTAAATAATACGCTTAAAATGTTTTGGCATGTTGAAGAGGTGCCCAAAACCTTGGCCATTTCCGATGATGACAAACTTTTTGAAACGACTTTTACTAAAACACATACTCGCAATACCGCCGGGCGTTACTGTGTTACGTTACCATTTAAAAATACCGCTCCGCAATTTAATAATTCTCGCTTCCCCGCCTTAAAATGTTTTTACAACTTAGAACGCAAACTTGCCGCAAACCCGGATTTATACGCACAGTATTCAGACTTTATGCGTGAGTACCTGTCAGAAGGGCATATGGAGGAACTAAAAAATATTTACCCCAATGAAAACGCATATTACATTCCTCATCATGCCGTCGTAACATCTAAGTTACGTGTCGTGTTTAATGCTTCCTTTAGAACCGCGAACAATTTATCGCTTAACGATGCTCTTTTGATTGGCCCAAAATTGCAGCAAGACCTCCTGTCAATTTTACTTAATTTTCGCTTAAATCGAATCGCTTTTACCGCCGATATTCGCCAAATGTACCGTCAAATTGAAGTTACGAAGTCATCAAGATTTTCAAAGAATTTTGTGGCGCTTCTCGCCTACGGATCCCGTTTCTACCTATCGCTTGTTAACTGTAACGTACGGGGTAAATTCTAGCCCATTTTTGGCTATTCGCACTATCCAGCAGTTAGCTAATGACGAAGGCAGGGATTTTCCGCGCGCCGCAAATGTTCTAAATAATGACGACGATATTGTGTCTGGCGGATCCACGTTGGATGAGGCTAAAAATCTACAGAACGATTTAATAAGTATTTTAGGCAAAGGGGGTTTTGAACTGCGAAAATGGGCAAGTAACTGTCCTGCGTTACTCGCGCACCTACCGGAATCGTATAAACAAGTAGGTTCTTGTGATTTTGAACAAGAAACCACCGTAAAAATACTTGGTTTACGGTGGAACTCCGCCACTGATAGTTTTCTATATCAGGTTGAACCGCAACAAAATTCTACTTGTACAAAGCGCACTATTTTATCACAAATCGCACGAATTTTTGACGTTGTTGGCTTTCTTTCTCCCGTCATAATAACCGCTAAATATCTGGTACAACATTTATGGAGCTTATGGCTTGATTGGGATGAACCACCCCCCGCAGATGTGTTAAATAAATGGCAAACCTTTAAATCTGAATTACCGCTTCTTTCTAATGTTTCTATCCCGCGTTTTGTTGCCGCTTTAACTCAGTCTTGTCAACTACATGGCTTTTGTGATGGTTCCGAAAAAGCCTACGCTGCCGTTGTCTATTTACGCATCTCTCCAAATGATTCTGACCAGGCGCAAATTTATTTAATATGCGCAAAATCGCGCGTCGCACCGCTTAAACGTCTCTCGGTTCCACGCTTGGAATTATGTGCCGCTGTTTTGTTGGCCGATTTGCTTTATTATGTTTACGAAACATATAAAAATAAATTAACATTTGAGAACATTTATGCCTGGTCCGACTCTACAATTGCTTTATCATGGATTAAATCCTCGCCGCACCGTTGGCTTACTTTCGTTGGCAATCGAGTAAGTCATATTCAAAGTAAAGTTGCGCCGGAAAATTGGAGACATGTCTCTACTCTTTGTAACCCAGCAGATTGTGCGAGCCGTGGTGTAATGCCGTCCGAAATCGTTTCACATGCACTGTGGTGGACGGGGCCGCCGTGGCTTCAGCTGCCTGAATCGTCGTGGCCACGTACGTTAAATTCGGTTGATAATACGCTAGCGGTCTGCCATGAGGAACGCAACATTACGCTTGCTAATGTTATTGAAACAACTCCTCTTGATAATTTAATACATAAATATTCGTCGCTAAATAAATTACAACGCATCATCGCATATGTTCTCCGCTTTATAAATAACGCAAAACCCGCTCACAAAAAACGTACCGATTTTTTCACTCAAAGTGAATTACATGATTCATTATTAGTTTTTGTAAAATATGTACAAAAAGTTCACTTTTCTGCCGAAATTTCTGCGCTATTAAAGAATCGCCCTGTATCTAAATACTTACGCAAATTAAATATTTTTCTTGACTCTAACAATATTGTTAGGGTGGGGGGACGGCTTCGACACTCGAATTTGAGTTTTGAACAAAAACATCCCGCGTTATTACCTGGTAACCACCGCTTTGTCAAGCTTTTAGTTCAGGAAACGCATAATAAACATTTACTTCCAGGTACTCAAACAATGCAGTATTTATTAGCACAGAATTTTTGGATATTGTCTTCAAAACAAGTCATACGCAAAGTAACTTCAAAATGTTTAAGATGCTGGAAACTAAATCCAAAATCTCCGCAACCTCAAATGGGGGATTTGCCACCCCTACGCATCTCGCAATTAAAATATTTTTCGGTTGTCGGCGTAGACTACGCTGGCCCATTTTCTTTACTAATGAGTAAAAACCGCGGTACTCGAACAATAAAAGGTTATATATGTGTTTTTATATGTTTTGCCACGAAGGCAATTCATTTAGAATTAGCTTCTGACCTATCCAGCGAAGCCTTTCTTGCAGCCTTACGCCGCTTTATTGCACGTCGCGGAAGATGTTCTCAAATATTCAGCGATTGTGGCACCAATTTTGTTGGTGCAAATAAGCAAATTCTCAGTTATTTTAAAACCGCGGCTGCTTCTGAAAGTCTCAAATGGAGTTTTAACCCTCCTTCTGCTCCGCACTTCGGAGGTTTGTGGGAAGCTGGCGTTAAATCGGTCAAAACACATCTTTATAGAGTCATTGGTGAACAAATTCTATCTTATGAAGAATTTTATACTGTGTTAACGCAAATTGAGGCTATCCTTAATAGTAGACCGTTGTGCTCATTTTCCGTAGATCCCAAT